TCACGAAGAACAACCCATTTCTTCAGCCATTTCTGTAGCCATTTCTTCAAACTCAATCCTCCTTTCCTCAACAAACCCATACCATCCCTCCCATTTACCAACATGTCCGAAACAAAATTTTCTTTTTCTTCAACAAACAAGTCTGAGTCTGGTATAAGAAGAAGAGGTAATAGATGTTGGTATGAGCTTGAGTCACCGTTGATGACGTCATAGACATACGATAATCCCGAAAGAAGATTTCATGGGTGTGGTAATTTTAAGGTGATGAGGAAAAAAGGATGTAATTACTTTCAGTGGGTTGATGAAGACATGAGCAGTCGTGCTAAAGATGTGATAAGATCTTTGAAAGACAAGAATGAGAAGCTCATGGATGTGATTAAGGACATCAAGAAAAATGAAGATTTGTTGAAGATGAAAATTAGGTTTATGTATTATTTTGTGGGGTTATCTTTGATGTTTGTCTTTTTAGTTGTGTTTGCATTAGTTGAAACACATGTACTCAATTGATGTAATATCAAATGTTGTAGTTACTTTGATGTTTATTTAGTTTCCAAATGAACTAATTTCAAATGAAGAGTTATGATTGTCTGGGTTAATGAAGAGTTATGTTGTAGTTACTTCGATTGTCTTCAAATGATGTTATGAGAACATATTGAAATGTTATGAGAACAGATTGTGTAATGTTATGGGAACAGATTGGGAACAGATTTGTGTTGAAACAGTTTGAAACAAATTTGTGTTGGAAACAGATTGTATGAACCATCAAGCTGCTGAACCATCTGTTCATGGAGATGCTATGATCGATTGTGTAATGTTATGACTCCTCTCTGCATATTGAAAGTACTTCATGTTATTTTACACAAAAAAACAACACAGGTAGTTATTAAAGTATGTTAGTATTGAGCTATAAAACTTGGTGGCAGTTGAAAAAATACACAATCTCACGTTTTGCAGTTTAAAGCACTCATACCTGCTACACTTTAATAACATGTTTGCATCAGAATAATCATACTCAGCTAATTGGATCAATTTCACCCCAAACAAAAAGACTGAAAGTTGGTGGTATTCAATCTTTAGTGGAAGTTAACTCATTGGAAGTTAACTCATTCTAACAAATCAACACATTGAAAGCTAACTCTGGTGTAAGTTCATGTTCTGAAAATGATGATATATATGATTAGAATTATGCTTTTAAGTGTTCTAAAAATATTGGTACATATTACTACATACTGTATTGTTTTTTATGCTTTGCAACTACATTCAAAAATTCATTCATTTTCAATTAACAGTGAATGCAGCTGCACTTGTTATCAATTTTGTAGCAGCTGTTTCAGCAGGTGAAGTTCCATTAACAGCAGTTCAATTATTATGGGTCAATTTGATTATGGATACATTAGGTGTTTTGGCTCTTGCAACAGAAAAACCTACTAAGGAGTTAATGGATCAAAAACCTGTTGGTAGACTGATGTATCAAACCACAACATTATATAACAACACTACATAACATAACATTGAAAGCTGATGTATCAAGACTGATGTATCATTACATTGACGGCAACATTAAAGACAACATATTTTAACAATAAGACATTGAGTTTTTTGGGTCATAATATATGCTATAGCAGCATCACAAAAAGTAAAGCAAAACATAGAACTATTCTTGGGTTGGTGGCGGTGCTTGCGACCATCCGTCTATAACAGTTTGTCCCGCTTCCTTGCCCAACTTGTTACCCTTTTTTATATTTTTTGTTGCCACCTTTAGGAATCACTCTCTCCGCAGCTCGCTTCCCTTTACAGGTTCATTTGTTATGGCCAAAACTCCCACATTTCTTGCACTTGACAATTTGAAGAGTTCTAGGCAGTGTATTTCTTATCCTCGGTTCGTCATTCGCCTTGTTACGATTCTTCTTAGGACGACCGATAGATCTTCGCATGACTTGAGGGCTGATTGGGTTAGCAACATTAACATGCCATAGTTGTGGGTCATTGGTTGGCATGATGATACGGCTATAAGTAGCCAAAACAGTAGATTTCCTAGACAATATGACACAATGATTTTAGTAAACGTACAAAAAATATGAATGTAAATGAATATAATATACGAGTAGGTGATACCTATAGAATGATGAAACGTAATCTTCAGGCTCCTTCTTGTTATACCATATGCATGCAATAGCATGAAAAAATGGTATTCCACTTAAATCTCACTTCCTACAACCACATTTCTGTTGAAGCAAGTTCACATCATATGTCTCAACACCGTTTGAAACTTCGAATATAGCAAAGTCATCATCTGCATGTCATGTTGCAATCCATCCTTCTGCAGCCCTCTTTGTTTTTTTCAATACTTTTTGAATGCTAGGACTTGTAACACCTATATACCTACTTAATTTCTCCTTTTGAGCAGATACTCTCACTGTTATGTAATGTTTGATTCCTTCAAGTAGTGAAATGATCGGCTTATCTCTATCCTCCAAGATTGCACAATTAAAAGTCTCACACATATTGTTGACTTGCAAATCACATTATGTGTCTGTTTTGAAATGAGACCAAGTCCAACATGCAGTTGGGACATCCATCATGTCTTTCCAAGCATTGACATTGAGCTCTTTCATATGATTCATTGCTCTTTCCCATGCAGGAACTGTTGTGGCTCTAGCTGCCCGCCATAAAGCCTCCTTCATAAATATCCCAGGATATTTCTTTCTCCAATTGCCATAGAAGTGTTTAACACATAGTCTGTGTTCAACATGTTGGCTTGTCTCAAGAATAGCCGGTACCAATCCCTGAAATAACAACACATATCAGTATATAACAACAACAACATTGTATACAGCAGCAACATTGTATATAGCTTCTAAGCATTGTATATAACAACAGCATTGTATATAACTTCTAAGCATTGTATATAGCAGTATGAACAGTAATTTAGAAAACAAATGAATAATCAACCATGAGCAGCATATAACTTCAATCTGTTATAGCAGTATATAGCAGTTATAACTTCAATCTGTTAACCATGAGCAGCATTGTATATAATTAGCAGTTATTTCAAGAAACATAATTTGTCCATTCTACGGAGCAACCTCAAAGTAAACCAGAATTTATCTCTCTGTTACGAACACTTGACTCAACTGCAAGCACTTTATATGCATTCCAAATTGGATCCATCCATTTTGCATTTCTCGATTAAGAAAAGTTGGCCCAAATATCATATTCTTCTAAGTTTTATTTGCACCTGCTATACACACGTGAATCATTTATATTCTAAATCTTTCTTAATTTATTATTATTCTTTACTCCTTTGGAACTCAAATACTGAACATCATTATTCCTCCAACACTTTTAAGTTTCCAAGTACTGCCATATCACCTTTATTCACCATACTTTAAACTAAAACATCATTCCAACTTTTAATTTTAATTTTTTAATCATTTAGTTATTATACTTTAATCCTACCACAAACAATTTTCCTTTTTATACGATGGATTCCAAACCGATCCTACTTATTCTCTTTCTAAACATATCTATGTTTTTTAGACAAACAATACATACAATAAACATTTCATATTTTCCATATAACATATCTTAGATATATGATAGATTACTGCAACATGGACCCCTATATGAACATTGCTTTAGATTACTATAAAATGACACTGAAAACATGTTCTGGTGTGTTCATTCACAACTACACTACAGTTATATAATTAGCAGTTATAATTAGTATTGTATATAATTACTATAACTTCAATCTGTTAACCATGAGCAGCATTGTATATAATTAACAGTTATAATTAGCAGTTAGAATTAGCATTGTATATAGCAATATATAGCAGTTCAATGAGCAACACATTCTTAAGTAATTATCAATCATGAGCAACACATTCTTAAGTACCAATTATAAGTACAAATTATAAGTACCAATTATAAGTACAAATTATATGTAATTATCAAATGAATAATAACTAGTTCAATGGTACAAATTATAAGTACCAAACGTAACAACATAAAGTTTCACCAAAATATATAGCAGTTATAACTTCAATCGGTTAACCATGAGCATCATTGTATATAATTAGCAGTTATAATTAACATTGTATATAGCAGTATATAGCAGTTCAATGAACAACACATTCTTATGTAATTATCAACCATGAGTAACACATTCTTAAGTACCAATTATAAGTACAAATTATAAGTACCAATTATAAGTACAAATTATATGTAATTATCAAATGAATAATAACTAGTTCAATGGTACAAATTATATACAATGCTGCTCATGGTTATCAAATGAATGATAACTAGTTCAATGGTACAAATTTTAAGCATCACATATCAGTATTGTACAGCAAACAAATCAACATACCAACATATCAGTAATGTACAACAAACAAATCAACATATCAGTACTGTACACCAAACAACATATCAACACAACAAACAACAACATTACATATCAGTATTGTACAACAAACAACATGTCAACACAGAAAAGCATCACATATCAAACATCATTGTAACAAATAGCAGCACTGTAAAACTAACCTTCTATTGATTTAATATAAATCCATATTTGTTGTCTTGTATAGATTGCAAGTCTTCTAATAACAAATTAAGGAACCATTTCCATGAGTCTTTCGTTTCAGCTTCCACTACGGTATAAGCGATTGGATAAATCTTGTTATTTCCATCCTTACCAACAACACCTATTAACTGACCTCCAAAGTCCTCTTTAAGAAAACAAGCATCCAGTCCTATTAGAGGCCTACACGTCGTTGCAAACGCTGTCTTACAAGCTTCTAAGCATACATATATTCTTTCAAAGACAGTACCACCATCTGAATCAGCACACTTAATTTTAACAGTGGAGTTTGGATTTGACTTTAACAACTCCTCGCCATAGCTTCTAAGATGTGTGAATTGTTCACGACCAGCACCTTGAATCAATTCCATTGCCTTTTTCTTGGCTCTATAAGCTTGATCCTTTGACAACTTCACCCCCACTTCTTAATAGCTTCTGCAATCAGCCCTTTGGTTTTTATTTCAGGAGTGTGTCTTATGGTGTACATAAATTGGCGACCCAACCAATCCGTTTTTGCTTGTCTATTTTTGGCTGTCCTATGACAGCCATGACGATCAGTCAAGCTAACAAGTTGTCAATATTGATTGGTAGTCCTCATGCTAAACCTAATATGAAATGGACAACCGTCTACACACTTGACAACCATTCTCTTTTTGTCATTTTTCTTGAATACAAGATTCTTCTTGTTCTCCATTTCATACTCCTTTATGGCATCTTTGATTTGTTGTTTATCCTTGAACATCATCCCTACTTCAAATTTTGTGGGTTCCCTAAAGATTGGAAACTTTGTCGTATCACCTTCAGCATCACTACCGGGTGGAGTTTGAAGCACATCTGAATCACTACCATTATCAAAATTATCATCCAACTTTGAAGGTTTTTCTGTTGTAGCATTAGGTAAAACGGTCTTTCAATTTATACTAGCATTAACACCTAAATTCATCACATCAATTTCATATTTCAAATCTTCATCCTCTTCCTCGTCATCCTCACTGCCCATGCTATAATCTGGATCTGTTTCACTATCGTCATCTACGTCATTAACATTAACACTAACCTCTTCATCTACTTCATCAACAGTAACCTCTTCATCTACTCCATCAACACTAACCTCTTCATCGTTTGCTCCATCGACATTAACTTCATCATTTGCTCCCTCAACATTAACTTCATCATTTTCTCTCTCAACATTAACTTTATCATTTGCTCCCTCGACATTAACTTCATCATTTGCTCCCTCAACGCTTGCTCCTTCACCATTGCCTTTTTCACCATTATCCTCCTCAAAAATAACATCATTAATACTTATTTCTTCAACTTTGTGTTCAACATAAAGATCAACTACCTTAAATGCTCTAACATCCTCCATTAACCTTAAGACATCATTATCATTGTTAAGAGGCCGAAGTCCACGAGAAAAGGAAAAATTAGGATTCCAATACCATAAACACTTTATATTACGATACCCCTCACTCTTGATCAAATCTTCAATTTGCATGTAGGACATCAAGTCCACATCCCAATCCCAATTCATTTCAGTTATAAGCCCATCAACATACAACAGAACTGGATTCTGAATTAAATGTCCTTTATGGTGTACTCTAAATCTGACAGCTTGGGTATTAGAGGGCCTACAAAATACAAACGACAGTTTCTGAATTAAACCATAGATAAAACCGGGAGTTGGTATTAACAAATCATATGCTATGACAGAACACAAACGCCATTTGCATGTTTAGGGTTTTTGTATTCAGAGGTGAGTAACGAAACATACCTCGACACGTAACTTCGGTTTGCCATTTCAGAGACGACGGGAAGCGAGCTGCGGTTTGATTTGAAGCGAACTGCGATTTGATATAGAACTGGGTTTGAAGAAATAGGAAGATGAAAATGGGTTACAATGGGAAAAAAATGCGAACTGCGGTTTGATTCGTTCGTGAAGAAATGCTTACAATGGGTTAAAGATGAAAATGAAATAATATTTAAGTTAATGGGGTTTTTTATTTAAGTTTTATTTTATTAAATTTGTGAAAATGAAATAATATTTAAGTTAATGACATAAAAATTATATTAAAATTAAAAAGACCATTTTAACTAACATGGAAATGTCACATCAGCATTTAACGCGCCACCTCATTAAAAACATGACTTAAAATGACAAGAGGACTAATATTAATCTTGAAACTTAAAAAAGAATTAAAATCGTAATTTTTAAAATGAGAGATCAAAATTTAAAAAAACACAAAATAGAAAAACCAACGTTGCAATTAAAAAAATAAAATAAATAAATTTGATATTGTTAATACTTTACCTCAATTTTAATGTGTACACGAAACCTTATCATTATTGTATAATAATATTCAATTTTTTTTTGCAAAACAAATTTCTTTTGCGATTTTCGATAAGTTACTTGTTTTTTCGGCGAGCATTTTGATCTAGCGAACAAGAAATGGTTACCGGTGCTGAATCGATCCAGGATGGTTTAAACTCCTAATTCTTGGATTAGGGACTCTTTTGGTGAAGTTTAATACTGGGTATTTGGAGAATATGGGTCGAGGGAGAAGGAGGCCAAAGAAAAACAAGGCGCTGTCACCGTCGATTCTGACCACCCTCTTGCAACAAAGTTTTAGGAAGGAAGAATCAGAACGAGGATCAATTGCGGGTACCGAATCCAACTCAATGAAGAGTTGTGATGTGAGAAAGGAAACCCCAGTTGTGGTTATTAGAGAATCTGAATCGAAAGAAAACATTGAGGAACCCAACCCTAAGCTTTGGGTTGATATCATAAGTGGTAACAGAAGTCCATCAAATGGAGCCCCAATCGAATTTATTGCTCCAAACATTGTGGAAGGTGAAATTGAAGTTGATATTGAGGAAGCAGATATTGAATCTGAGGTAAAATTCTGGGACTTATCTCTTATAATGTATGTTATAGGGAAAGATCTTAGTATGAATGCGATCAAACGGTATATGATTAAGTTTTGGAACTTTGTGAAGGTTATTTTATCCTGAAATTTAAGTCTCATCAAGAAAAATATTTGGTTGTGATGAGGGGTCCTTATACCATCCAGAATATGCCTATGGTTCTAAAGGATTGGTCACCTAATTTTGGTTTCAAAAGAGATATGTTGCGTACCCTGCTTGTCTGGATAAAGCTCCCTAATCTCCCTCTACATTTGTGGGGTGTTCGAAGCTTAGGAAAGATAGGCAGTGCCTTAGGTGTTCCCTTGTTTATAGATGAGCGCACTGCAAACAAATTAAGGGTGTCCTATGCTATAATTCTAGTTGAAATAGACATCACTCAAAAACAAAAAGATTACTTCATGATTAAGGACAATGAAGGTACCAAGAGGAAACAAATTGTGGAATATGAGTGGAAGTCTATTTTCTGTGAGGTCTGCCAAAAGGTGGGGCACCAATGTAAAATTAAGAACAAGAAGCAATTGCAGCCTAAGCCCCCCAAGAGAATTCAACCAAGCTTGATGATCGATCCTGTGGAAGACAAGGTGGAGCAAGCGATACCAACCATTCAAGAGGTTCATAAAAATGACAAGGTAGAGAATGAGGGATCATGATGGGAAAATGTTTGCATCACTAGTAGAATTAAAGGGAAAGTTGTAATGAGCCCCAAGAGTAATGAAATTATCACTTGCCAAAATGGATTTGAGGCCTTAAGGATTAGAGATCCTGGAAGGTCACAAGCAGAGGTAACATGATGATTTCTTGGAATGTGAGAGAGATAAATAATTCAGGAAAGTGTCATGAGGTTGTCTCCCGCCTCAAGCAAATGGACCCTGAAATTGGTGTTATGTTAGAAACTAGAATAAAGCCTCAGAATGCTGCTAAAATAAGGAAAAAGTTTAGCCAAATTGGAAAATGATAGACAATTATTCCAATCATAACAATGAGAGAATATGGATCTTATGGGATGAGACTAGAATAAAGGTGAATGCTTATACTTCAAATGCTCAATTTATCCATTGTAGTGTATCCCACCTCAACGGATTTATGAAAACTTGGATGACTGCAATTTATGCCTCAAATCTGCTTGAACAAAGGAAGAATCTCTGGAAGGATATAATTAGAATCCATGATAATGTCTCAGGCCCTTGGTGCCTCATAGGGGATTTCAACAATGTTCTGAAAGCCAATGATAGAATTGGTGGGAATATGGTTATGGAGCATGAGTATAAAGACCTAATGGAGATGATGGACCAAATTGGCTTGTTTGAAAAGGAGAGTTGTGTTGATCATTTTACATGGAGCAATAATCAAAGGAATAGTATGATATACTCCAGAATTGATAGAATTTTGGGGAACATTGACTGGCAGCAACACAATATGGATAACAAGCTTATCATTATGAATCATGGTGTATATGATCATGCCCTGTTGAGTTTATAAAAAGGAAATGTGACCAAACCTGTTAGAACTCCCTTCAAATTCTAAGATGTGGTTATAAACAAAATTGGGTATAAAGAAGCTGTGCAGCAGATCTGGGATGAGCCCTTACCTGACAGGCCTATGTTTGTCTTGTGGAAGAAGCTCCAAAGACTTCAACTTGTGATAATAAATCTGAGTAAGTCTTATTATGGGATCACTCGTCAGCTTAGAAGAGCTAGGGAAGAGTTATCTATAGCCCAAAACAACATAATTAGAGATAAGATGAATATCCAGGCCATTGATAGAGTCAAAGATTGCATCGGTGAAATTTTGAGACTAAGCAACATTGAAGAAAGTATCATTAAACATAAATCAAAGGTGGATTGGCTTAGACTTGGTGATGGAAATAATTCCTATTTCCATGCTTCTTTGTAGGCTAGACAGAGGCAAAATCATCTAGGTAGCCTGAAAGATGAGAATGGGAATAATCTTCACCAACAGGATGAGATTGAACAAGAGATTACAAGGTTCTATAAGAATCTTATTGGCACTTCTAACTGTAACTTGGTTAGAATTGACATTGAAGCCATGAGGAAAGGCCCTCAACTGACTGATTTGCATAGGGATTTCCTTATAGCCTCCATAACTGAGAATGAGATTTTCAACAACTTGAAAGGTATTAAGGATATTTCTGCCCCTGGCATGGATGGTTATAATGCCAAAATTTTCAAGAATGCTTGGGATGTTATCAAGTATGATACCATCAATGCTATCAAAGATTTCTTTGAGAGGGATAAGATCTATAAAGCCATAAAGTGCACCCCTGTCACCTTGATCCCTAAGTCCAATTCTGCCACATCCTTATGGCCTATGAGATGATAAGAGGATACAATGCCAACAATGCCAACAATGGCCTATGAGATGATCACATCCTTATGGCCTATGAGATGATAAGAGGATACAATGCCAACAATGGAGCTCCTAGATGTATGTTACAGATGGACTTGCAGAAAGCTTATGATAATGTAGAGTGGAGTATTCTGGAGGCTATCTTGAAGGAGTTCAACTTTTTCCAACAGTTCATAAACTGGATTATGATAACTGTCACAATTGTATCTTATAAATTTCAGGTTATTGGCTTCTTATTCCATCTGTTGGAGGCTAAGAGAGGCCTCAGACAAGGGGATCCTTTTTCCCCCTTGATGTTTGTGTTAGTCATGGACTACCTTTATAGAGTCCTTCAAAAGCTCAAGGAGAAACCTAATTTCAATTTCCACTCAAAATGTGAGAAGATGTCCATCATAAATATGAGCTTTGCTGATGATTTGCTCCTTTTGTCTAGAGGAGATCAAAAGTCTGTGGACATGTTGATGGATGTTTTTGAAGTTTTCTCCAAGTCTACAGGGTTGAAGATAAATCCCGCCAAGTGTAAAGTCTTCTTTGGTAATGTTGGAGTTGTTGATAAGCAAAGAATCCAAGAGATCACTAGTTTTGCTAAAGGAAAGCTCCCTTTTAGGTACCTTGGTATACCCCTTACTAGTAAAAAATTTAACATGAATCATTATATGCCTATGATAGACAAAATAGTGGTTAGAATTAATCATTGGAGTTCTAGATTATTGTCCATGGCTGGTAGAACTCAATTGATCAACAATGTGTTGTTTTCCCTAACCAACTATTGGCTTCAATGTTTACCTCTACCTAAAAAAGTTTTAGCCAAGATTGATGCTATATGCAGGTTCTTTCTTTGATCCGGCTCTGATAAAATCACTAGGAAATCGTCCATACCCTGTAAGAAAGTCGGCTCCCTCAAGAAGCAGGGAGGCTTAAGTATTATTGACATAAGTAATTGGAATATTGTTGGCATTGCTAAGCTGCTCTAAAACTTGTGCAGGAAGTCTGATAGCATGTGGATCAAATGGATCCACTGCTACTATGTCAAAAATCAAGATATCATGACAATGGACCTGAAAATCAATTCCTCTTAGATAATGAAAGTTATTCTAAAGGTCATGCCCATTGTTACTAACTTAACTTCCTGGAACTCCTTTATGTAGGAAGGGAAGTTAGTCACGAGGAAACTGTATGCTATACTGGCTGAGAACCATCGAGAGGTGACTTGGAGGAAAGTGTTCTATAATAACCATGCTAGGCCTTGTGCTATGATCACACTTTGGGTGGCTTGCCACTCTAGATTGACTACAAAAGATAGGCTCAAGAAATTTGGTATGATAAGGGATGATGTTTGTTGTTTCTGCAGTGAAAGTGAGAGTCAAAATCACCTCTTTTTTCAATGTAGATAAATGGAAACTGTTTGGCACAACATATTAGATTGGATGCAACTTGTGCATAGACCTAGTTGTTGGAGTGATGAGCTGACTTGGGTCATGGAGAAGAGCAAATCTAAAAGCCCCACAAATAGCATTTTCAAATGTGCTTTGGCTGAAACCCTCTGAGTTTTGGAGGTATAGAAATGAAATGAGTTTTGGAACGGTTGACAACATAAGCGTGATTGGTCCTAGGATCATAGACATCATTGTTAATAGATGTTGGATGAGAGCCAATCTTAAGAAGACTATAGGCAAGCTGATAATGCCTGAGTTTTTGCTTTTCCTTGTTGTTTATTGTCTGTTGGATCTGTTGGATCTCTTTCTTGAGATTGTTTGTTTTGTATCGCTTTGTGGTAAATAAAGTATTTTTTTATCCAAAAAAAAAAATATTCAACTTTTTTTTTTAAAATTATACTAGTGTCATTCTTTTTGGTCTATAGATAGAGTGATTATAACCATTAAAAATTTACGTACATAATTGAAATGTCTCATATTTGAACTAGACATAAAATATTTAATCTAATAATATTAATATTTATCACAACTATGTGATTATTTTATCCTTCATGTATTTATATATTTTTATATAAATATTTATGATAAATAATTTTGACCTCACTAATTAAAAATCCTAAATCCGTTCCAATTTATGAATGTTGTAGGTTTATGAAAGTTGTTTGTTTATAATGATATTACCGAATATTGTAGAGCATATTTTGTATGTTTATTGGATAATTAATGTTTTAAAGTTGTTAATGTATGTTTGTTGAATTATGCAACCCGGAAGTCAAAGAATGTTTGAAGGCTATTAGTGAATGTTACAATATTTTAATCTTGCTTAGTTTATTTCCATAATTAATCATAACTAGTGATGCTCTTCAAAGCACGACAATATCCCCACACCGACAACTAAGTCGTCATTGCAACTTCGAGTTTAACATTTGAATCAAAACTATTATAATTTTCTTTATATTTACCATATTGTTTTGAAATGGGAGAAGAACACTCATAACTCATTCGTTCCTTCGATTGAAATGACAATATGAAGTGAAGAACGTCCATAAATCACTTAGAATTATACAGAAGATGAACAAAAGTGGCCTGGTGTTGAATGTTATGGTGGTTACAGAGAGAACGTCTAAAATGAAGCACTTTCCCTAATTTAGTTTAGGGTTAATTTGTTCATATGTATGGAGAAAACTAAAGAAATTGATAATGGTGATGAGACATACGCCAACTGAGATGCAACCTAGACCACAATAAACTTCGTTTGGGGAAATTAGACCGATCAAATTAGTC